AATTCTACAAATCAGAATATATCTTTCCACCGATTCCTTCCAACATGTTTTCACCTCTAAAAACACATATAGAAGGATAATTATTATGTGTGTGCTTCACATATCCCACTAAGCTGTGACTTCTTCAGTGGAAAGTCTATGAATTTTATTCTTCTTTGCATCTACTGCAATACATAATGTAGCACTCAGGATACAGTCAGCAACTCAAATAGCTCTTGACAAACTGCAGAAGAATAATAAACATGAATTTCAAAGGAATCGATATTCCAGTATTGTTAGTAAGAAACTACTCAAAGTCTAATCAGATCCGAAATCCTACTGGATGCTCTCTCACACTTTCTTCTATTAAATCTAGAGTTTTAAAGATGATTATACTATGTACTGATGGCCTAGCACAGTGCCTAAAGCTCTAAACCAGTTTGTTTCAAAACTGAAGTTAAGGTCATTCAAAAAGTGAGAACAAAAAATTAGTAATCCCGTTCGATTAAACATAATTTCACTTGAGGGAGAGAAGGAATTACACACATGTTAGGTAGAAGAGCACATCCCCTTAAGGAAATTAAGTAAATTGGTATTCTACAAAACATTCACCTTCACTACAAGTTTCATTCAATTATATTATTCATTTTAAAGAATATTAGTATTTGCAGTGGGCTATCCCACAGCCAGGCAGAATATACTGCTATATGGAAGAAAGAAAGAAAGAAAAAAAGCTATGTAAAATCTTTAGGAAATAAATAAAACCACCAGTTTTTAATATGGATAGAGGTATGTTCCCAATGGTTCTTCAGACATTTTAATCTGCCTCACATTCAGACTCAAGGACAGTCAATATGCTTAATTTATAATTTTATTATAATACTAGCTTCCCCATTAATAAGATCTCTTACAAATTATAGCTAATTGATTTTCATGAAAAAAACTATGAACATTTAGATAATCTCCTACCATTTAAGGATATTTCCAGTTTCATATCTACTCCAGTTAGAAAAATCTTTATTAACAGAGTTATCTATAACATGATTCTTAGTAGAAAGTCACATTTCTTAGAGTGACACTCGTTTCTTCATACACTCACTCACACGTTTAATACTTGAGACTTAACAGGGAGTGGCGTGTGTGCTAAAATTGGGGAGCACTGAACAACACACACAAAAAAACAAAATCTCTAGCCTTCTTACAAAAGTTAAGATGGTATAAGGTGAGATCCCAGGGGTAGATTATAAAACATAAAACTAAAATTCAGGCTTCCATAGCAACTCGGTAGTCTGTAACTGGTCATCATTTTCCAACGATTCTCCCTGTTGGTGCAATTAAAAAACATGACATAAAATAGGAAAAAATGTATATCGATATTTAAAGAGTTTGCTCAAAATATAAGGATTTTCTCTTTTAAAATAACAGACCCAAATGTAATCTACCTACTACTCATCACTAATCAAAATGCTGTTGGTAACATCGTACGTTTAAAAGAAAGACTTCTGAGTGGGGTAGGGCTCAATTACCTGAACTGATGACAAAATAGTAAAGAGCTCTCCATCTCCTGTTTTTTCTCAGGTCTGAAATGTGACATGAAAATCTGCAATCCTATTCTGACAGCATTTCCCCAACAGGTATTTTTAGTGATACTTTATTTACTGTAATGCAGTAAAAGGATCTTGACGAGGAGCTGGAAGCCTTGATTTCGAGCAGTGCCATTCACTACCATGCCCTTTACCATCCTTTCCATTTACAGTTTCTTAGAGTCTCAGTTTCCTCACCTGTAAATTGGCCTCCTATGACTCACCTACCTCGCTGGGTTATTTCGAGGCCATGGAAAACCATAGAAATGCTAACAATTTCCCCTCGGAACAACCCAACTTCAAATTCCCTTCAGATTTCATGAAGAGAAGGAAATGGCACAATGTGAGTAAACTTCCCTATACTGCCTAATTCAAGAGGAAGAAAAATAATGCAATTCTATTGAACAGACTTAATTTGGAATCTGGGCTCTAGGGTTTGCTTTATGTATAATAATTACAGGACCATAGCCAAGTCACTTATGCTCCCTGAAACTCAGTTTCTATAATGTCTACCGTATCAATATATTAGATTTGTTGTGAGGGTAAGCAACAGTACAGCATAAAAGTACTCTAAAAGACTCTAAAACATGATTTAACCAGGAGCAGTAACAAAGTCAGTACAACAAAATCGTTCTCAAAGTGCTGCTAGAGTTTCTTGTTAACTACTGAGGAACTGTGCAGAATGTAGATATCATATTCTAAAAACTACCCCCCAGAAATCCCAACAGTACTTCTTAAGAGGAGATAGTATTAAAGTATATGTTATTAAAATCTATTTAAAGTACCAAAGTATATGTTACTAAAATTATGTGTCCCATTCTATTAGCCATACCTTTTTATGGAAAGAAAAACAATTTAAAACTTAGTATTGATCTAGTGAAAGTAATAGTACACACGTAGAACTCTCCGCTCCCAAAGGAATCGAACTTTTCCCCCAA